TGTGCTTATCTTGTGTGACAACACTACAAAGCAAGTAGCTCCTCTAGGCGGGTAGCTGTGTGACAATATCATAGAGAAAGCGACACTTTCGTGTATCATGTTATGGTCTCAAAGCCCTTAAAGCCCTTACGAGGTAGTTATGAGCTTCACGTGCTCTAAGCTTGGCCCGCATACGGTTAGAAAGATTGGCTGCAATCTGCTACTAATATAACTTAATCAAAGGAAAAGAAGTGTTTTCAACGATCTAGTGTTTGGTCCTTCACCTTTATGGGTAGGACCGACTCCCTTTAAAAATTCAATAAATTATCAATTTAGGGTCCCCAATTAATCATCCGATTAATCTCTCAGTCCACCGACGAACGCTTTTTACAACCTTGATAACCATAAAGTTGAAAGAAAGTCGACATATAATTGTTTCTATGATCTCACATGCGATTAATCATCTAAACAATAATGTCATGATTTTGTTATTAATTAAAAATTACAACAAAATATTTAAAACAACAAGCAAACGATATCTAACTTTTGTAAAGCCAACAGATTGACATGAGATCCAAGTCAGATGCATAAACGTGACCAAAACATACTCGAAACTGAAAAACAAACAATATGCTTCTGTAAATAGTGATCGACGTGTTGCGTAGGAGAGCCCTACATGTCGCGTCCTACTAACATAATCATGTTACTGTATCCTAACTTTTGCGTCGCGATCTGTCGATTAGGGTTTCTGACATTACGCCGCTTATGCGCCGTGTAGGAGGACCCTAAGCACCGCGCAATCACAAAAGCCAAAAAAATCATATTTCATTTTACCATCGAGAGATCCCGTACTAAAGACTAAAGATAATGTTTTACTATGGGAGGAATAAGAAGAAATACAATTTAAGGGGCTGATTTGGGTAAATTGAGAAAGCTAGGGTTTGAATAAAACTCTATTTCCCTCAATTTTGGTGCATGAAGAACAAAAAGGGCTGATCGGGATTCAGGCGGTCTCAGGAGGCAACGAGCAAACCGCCTGCCTCAGCCATTCACGCCGCTTAGAACAACCACTGCACCTACCATCTGATCCTAACCCTTCCATGCGACTTCGATTTGATTTCGTGAGGAAGCGACCAAAACGCCTGGACATCCAAAATTATGTCGATTTGAAGTCAATTTTAACATTAGGTTTGCCTAATCTAACTCACAATCTAAGCAGTTATCGCGGTCGTAATTTCAATAGCGGTCACATGCCGCTATTTGAAATCGCAGTTATCGCGGTGGTATAGCAGTGATATAGCGGTTTTTTAATATTATGTATAATTTATATTATATATTGATACAAAATTTATATATTAGATTATTAATACTATATAGAATTAATATCATAAAAAATCATATAAAAACATAACATAATCTATATATAATATTCTAATATAGTAATATGGAAACTAAAAAGTGTCAAAATGTCATCGTAACTCAAGTTGTTTGTGGTTTCTAAGTACTGAAACAGATGAAAAAGGAAGTTGTCATTTAATGCTTTGTAGTTTTGTAATTAATTATATTTATTATTTTGACATATTAAGACAAAAAATAAAGATTTAATATTGAAATAACACACAATCGTTTTTTTTTCTTTATCAAAGTACCCCAATATGTACGAAATTGTAAAAGCGGGTGTAGCGTCGTTATAGCGCTGATGAGGTTTGCGGAAAATAGCGGTCAATAGCGCCGCTAATAGCGTCACCGCTATTCGTTAACGCTATTTCAAAATAACGGTTCAGTAACACCGCAAAACGCTATAGCGCCGCTATAGCAGTGCTATAGTGCGCTATTGATAGCATAGCTCACAATCTGATCATTTCCACCTCTACACAAGAATGTATATTGACGTGTTTGGCTGTATATATATCTGATTTTAAAAAGAATCGATTTTGAAACCTTAATTTTCCAAAATTATACTTCTCATTTCTGGTGATGAATCTAATCAACCGAATTGATGGATGTGTGCTATAGTCGCTTGAAACTTCATTATGCAGCAACCCACGAAGAAAATGCACGATTAATATCCATTTAATTACCAAACATATTGCAGAGTAATACCTCTTCAACATACTGAAGTTTAGAAGTTTTGGTGTTTTTAGCAGATAACAATGCTATCTTTGATTTATGTTGGATAAAGGTACAGAAAAATCAAAAATCTTCTGTTCTTTTTTTTTCCCTGAAATAATGATTGGCACTGTAATCATACTACTTGTAAGCCCCAAATTCAACCCTCTGAAATGTGCTGAAATATTTGTCAAAGCGGTCATTCACTACTTCAAAACAGCCCGAAACATGGCTATCTAAACTGTAGATTATGCAAAAGGTTGTGTAGTATTTTGGATTTCTGTAGTATTTTAAGTAAATAATACTTTCTACTATGGTTTATTGCATTCAAACAAAAGAGTGTCTTCATCCATAATGTGTTGACATTTGTTTGTAGATAAAATTTACTTGTTAAGTTCATTTACATACCTAGTAAATACATATTAGAAGTTAGTTTTCTGCTGTCATAATTCTGTAAGTTGGGTTTTCTGTATTGATTTCTGTTTTAATTTATGGTGTTGAGTTACAGGTTATTTATCATGCTTATACGGGTGTTATCTTTTTTACTGGTTTATTTTTCTGTTGCAGCATGCATAAAAAGTAAATAACTCTAAATTGCTGGTTGGTTCGCAGAATGTTGCCAAAGGAATTTGAATTACAATTGGGAAAGGAATCTATTATGAATTTGAATCCAATTCCATATGCTGTTTGGTTGGGAGGAAATGGAATTGGAATTAATTCCAGATTTTGTTTGGTTTGCAGGAAATGGAATTGGAATTCATGTAAAATGACATAATTACCCTTTTTGTCTTTTTTGCTTAATTTTACCTTGTTTTCTAACTTATATGTAAAGATGTATTATGAAAATTATAAAAACGGTAAAATTTCGGTGGTGGTGGTAGTGGTGGTGGGGCAGTGGCGGTGGTGGCGGCGACAGTGGTAGGTGGTGGTGATGGTGGCTGCGATGGTGGTGGTGATGGTGGCGGTGGCCTTGATTGTGGTGGCGGAAGTGGTGGTGATGGTGGCAGTGGCAGCTGGTGGCGACATCGACGGCGGTGATGGTGCTGGTGGTGGCAGTGGCGGCTGGTGGCAGCGGCAATGGTGGAGGTGGTGGTGGTGGTGGCGGCGGTGGTGGTGGTGGGTGATGAGATTGGTAGTGGTGGTGATGGAGGCAATGGTGGCGGTGGTGGTGGTGGTGGTGGTGACGATGATGATGGTAGTGGTGATGGCGTCGGAGGCAGTGGCGGTGGGTGGTGGCGGCGGTGGTGATGGTGGGTTGTGGTAGCGGTGGCGATGGTGGTGGGTGGTGGTCATGGCGGTGGCGGCGATGGCGATGGTGGCAACGGCGGCGGTGATAATGGTTGTGGCGGCAGCAGTGGTGGTGGTGGTAGCGGCGGTGGTTGTGGTGGGTTTTCTGATAAGTACAAAGGGTATTTTCTACAATGTTGACAGATGAATTCGAGGGAATTGGAATCCTTTTCCATCGAATTCCATTTCTTTCCTGCCAACCAAACGCACCCTAATTTTCTGCAATGTTGACAGATGAACGCTGCTCTTGTCCTGATAGAATGAAATCAAGTCTTCTAGAAATTCCATCTCTGCAGTGGATTTTCGTGCATGACTTTTTTTTTCTTTCTATATTTTAATATACATTAATATACCATTTCTCTTCTGTTGTAGCTTTGGATTGGTGAAAAGTTAATGATATGCCCTGCAATGTGGAATCAGCATCATTGGAACCAAATTTTATTGCTGGAAGAAAAAGACATTTAAATCTGGAGTTGGGAGAGAGAAAGAAATGGACCAAGTAAAGAGGTGAAGCTTATATCATTTACTGATATTGTCACAAATTTAGGGGTTAATAGAGACGTACATGTATATGTTGTTATAGATCTATGTTATCAAATCATCTTTTGAGTTAAATACACCACTACGTGTTGATTTTGGTTCCCAATCTTGTTATGTCTATACTTGATCTATCATTTTGAAATTCATCTGAAAATAATTAGTGTGTTATCTCTATCACTAATGATCCTAAAATAGTCCTTACGTACATTACACTGATATAAAGTACCCTTTAGGTGTAGTACAAATCAGTTGCAATGAATGAGACCCATCATGCAAGAAAATTCCAATGATAATCATTTATAGAAGAAAATTCAGCAGAAATGAATCTTGCAAAGTTGGTTGATTAATTGTGGTCAGAAGTTGTAGGTTCGAGTGATAATTGTGAGAATTGTTGAAGAGTGTTGTTTATTTTAGTATAAAGTGTTTAAAAATAATTAAATTCATAAAAAGTTTGGAGTTTTACACAATAATAGTTCTATTTGTCTCTTTAAGTTGTTGAACACCAGCGATCTCTCATACAGTTGGATGGATGGCTGGGGAGAGTTTAAAATTGAACAAGAGAAGGAACGAATGATACACCAACACACACTCAAATAACTAATTAACATCTCTATTTATGTACACCTTCGAATTATTTAAACTGACATCATTTGCTTCCTGTGGTGCTCCCCGTCTAACTGTTTCTTTATTTAGCCCCTTGCAGTTATAGAACCTCAAACATTGGATAGATGACATGTTGGTTAACCACATAGGCAGTTCTTGTATTCCGAATCCATATATGGTTAACTTAGTCAGTGAGGTGAGGTGTTGTATTTCTTCAGGTATCGACTCCCAATGATCCCAACCGGACAATTCTAATGAGTGAAGGTGGTCCCTTAACTTCTCGATGCCTTGGAGACTTGGGAAAGAATTGAGCTCCTTTGAGAACGGACCAACTCTCAACTCATTTAAGAAGGCAAAACAGTCAAACATTTTTTGAGGCAAGGAAGTCAGGTTGAGGCAATGCGTAATGTCCAAAGTCTTCAAAGAATGACACTGGTTGGGTAAATTGGTTATTTCTAAAAGACTAGGACAATTGGGGATCATTAAATTTTTAAGAGATGTGAGGCCTTGTATGCTCTTAATGGACACCAGTTAATAATCTCTAAGGAAACAAGAGGATGGGGATGGCATTCATCTAAGAGAATAATATTCGGGCAATTCTCGATATCCAAGCTCTGGAGGACAGGCGATATCATTTTTGAGCTGTTGGGTGCTCCATCTATCCACTTTTCCAGCCTTTTCATGCATTCTAGTCGGAGCGATCTCAAGGAAGGAGACAAAGGCTTGGTAGATCCAGTAACATCGGAACTCCTTAAGCATGTCAAGTTGTCCATATTAATCAACTCAAGATCCAGAAGATGTGGTAGGTGCTCAAGCGTCGGAAGAGAGAGGCATCTCCTACAGTCAGATAATGTGACTGACACGAGCTTGTCAAGGGGCGTCTCTTTCCCATCAATATTGACTGCCATCTTCATTACCCATTCTGGAAAATTATCACCAGAAAAACTTGTAATTGTCAATATTTTCACATCTCCAGGCGGTTGCAAGCCTTCCAATACTTCCTTGTCGTTTCCATAACTTGTATTCCATTCGAATTCAATCTCGTTTAAATTTTTTTTACCAGATAAATCTGCCATGACTGCATCCTCTTTGCTCCTGACATATTCTAGATTGGAAATACAGAGCTTTCCACTGAGGTGTTTCAAACGGCTTAGCTCTTTAATACCGTGTTCCTTATTTCTAAGCACACTGAAGGAATTAGGCATTAATGTTCGAAGAGAAGTCAATTGTCCCACGATATTGTTGGGAATGCTTCCAACAGATTTACAATATCGCAGGCTTATCAAATTTCTCATGGATTCTGGAAACTTGTTAAGATGATAGCAATATTGCAACTTCAGAGTTTGCAAGTGGTACAAGTTACCAATAGATTCAGGAAGAACACGGATCCTTGTATATGACAAATCAAGATACCTGAGATGCACCAACCCTCCAATTGAATCGTCTATCTTCTTTATTCCAGATCTTTCAAGTATTAGGATACGCATGCTCTTGAATTGTTGAAATGAAACATTCTTTTCAACCTCCCTGAAGAAGAAGCACGTACGCAAAGTTCGAGCCGTCATTATACTTTCAATGAGAAAGAAAACGTTGGTATTTTCTTGGCAAAAGTCATCATTCATCACACCCACCAAACATTTGCTTTCAAAATTGGAAAGTAATAATGAAAGATCATGCACCAGATCATGCATGCTACAATGAGTGATGTGACCATCCTCATCCCTTCTAACATCTTGGAACAACGAATTGCTGACCAAAATTTGAAAAATATCATTCCCCACATCCTCCATCTCCTTGTTTCTTTCCTCATCTGCTTGAATCAACCCTAAAGCCATCCAAAGTTGGACCAGTTTTTTCCTTTTCATGACCTTATCTTTCTTAAAGATTGAACAAGATGCAAAACATTGTTTGGCTATAGAACGTCTAGGCAGATTATCTAAGCTAAGTTCCAAACTCTTTTGAACTCTCTCCGTTTCATCTTCTAGATCCCAAACTTTGCTATTTCTGATCGCCAACCACTTCTTTGGGTCACTGTAATTTTGCAACACCCCTCCTATTACCTTTACTAGCAACGGCAAACCACGACACTTTTCCACAATATCATGTCCTATCTTCTCCAATTCGGGTGGTGGTGATTGTCCTGCTAGAAAGGCCCTCTCTTTAAAGATATTCCAACAATGATCATCAGAAAGACCTTTTAAAGGACATGAATCCATTGTCATAGCCTTTGTTCCTATGTCAAGTTTTCGGGTAGTGACAATAACGCCACTTCCAATTTGTGACTTTATCATCATCATATGCCTCTTAAATTCTTCCCAGTGTGATCTCCCTTCATCCCAAACGTCATCCAGAACTAACAAATATCTTTTTGAACCCAACTTCTCTTCAAGAGAGATAATTAAATTGGCCATTTCAACAGACTTAGGTTTCTCTCCTGCCACAGATTCATAGATCTTTGCCAGAAGTGTGTTGATGTCAACCTTAACAGACACACACAACCAAGCTTTCACATCAAAATATTGCTGGATTTTTATATTATTGTATACGGACTTAGCCAGAGTGGTCTTCCCCATCCCGCCCATTCCCGTAATGGGAACAATCGTAAGCTTTTCTTCTTTTCTTGACTCGGTTAATAGGTGTATGATGCGCTCTTCTTCATCCTCCCTCCCAACAATTTTGAATTCGTCTAAATTTGGGACAGTCTCCGGATATGGACGATATGGAACAACAGGGCCAGGCTGTTCATTTTGTAGTCCCAAGTCGTTTGCATCCTTATTGATTTGAGACAACTTTTCGTTAATGTTTTTGATTTTATGACCCAGTTCTCTACGAAATAAAAACTTTTTCAAGCTTGGAAGAGAGGGTGCCTTTATTCTTACCTGATCTCGATTCTTTACCTCACGCCTCAACATTTCGTAGTGAACCTCATCCATCACATCATCAGCTTCACCAACAACATCTTTTAGCTGTTTCAGCCACTCCATCACCCCATGTTTTTTACCTTTTTCATTCTCTGCATCCTGTAACTTGGCACGGATCATTTTCAAGGTCCCTTCAAGCGTGTGCAACTTCTCTTTGTAACCCCAAACAATGCCGATTTCGTTGGCAGCTATGGATGCCACCTTTTTCAGAATCGCCTCGGCAACAACAGTAACTAAAGCGTCGGCCATTTTCACTGGTGTGTATGAGAGAGAGAGAGAGAGAGATATGATAAAAAATATGCGAAAACGAAACCACAAGTCACAACTCACAACCCAATAAATAAAGATATATGGAGAAATGGAGAATAGACCCATTGTTTAAAATAATTAAAGAAAAAGAAAACGTAAAAGTAAAAGAAATTTAAAGTAATTTATAAAATTTAGTTAAAAGGCTTAATAACTTTTTACTAAATAGCTAAAATTAACATTTTCAGAAAATGGCCAACGAAATCATAGGTGATTAATTAAGCTTACATGCGATTTCATCCTTCCTAGCGGCTATCTCGTTAGATTAAGCTACGAATTGGGTCCATTTTCGACTCATGGGTCGGAAGTATATAGAAACCTCAAAATCTGGTATAACCCTCACACACTTCCAACTTTAATAAAAAATCTCAACCATCTGGCTCAAAATCAATTTTCACTCGAAAAATTTATAAGTACATCGGAGAAAATCACAAGTCCATAAAAAAACAAAATCGAGCAGAGGAAATCGCAGGTGGCCCTAGGCCATCTCAGGAAATCGCAAGTGGCATAACCACCTGCGATTTCAGTGACTATTTTTGGAAAAACTCGATTTTGTGGCTATCTCTTAAAAATTCATTAAGGTAATGGCTAAATTTTAACCACTTGGGTTGTGGTGACATGGTAAGGCATGTGGAAGATATGGTGGATAACCTATTGACCCATGTTCAAATCCTGACACCACTCAGCCCTTGTGGCCATGGAGGTTCGCCTGCAGTGACTCCAGGGCATGAGACAAAGCCTCATGTTTGCAGCGGGGGATTAGTCGGTGCGCGAAAGCTGGCCCGGAAACCCTCGTTAGGGAAGTTCCCTTTCTAAAAAAAAATTTGTAAATTTTTCTTAATTTTGTGGTTATTCTGTATGTACCTCGTTTGTTACTAAATGTACCCCATATTTAATTTTTTGTTTTTTATTGTCTTTTTTTAGTCTTTTGTTGTTTTTTCTTTTATTAGTATTATTAGTATTATCTATTTATTTACTTATTTATTTATTTATTATTATTATTAGACAAACATTCTAAATCACAATAATATCAATAATAATAATAAGTTTATTAATCATCGAATATTCTAACGGTTTCTACATAACAATTGTATGATGCATTATGCATATTATGCGGAACATAATCATTTTATCTAATACTATACGGGGTTTCTCATCCAGTAGAACGTTTTAATCTGTATGTACGCTAATATGACAAAATGGTAGGCATTAGATACATTCCTTATAAATCAACTATCACATAATGGTTACCGTAAACATGGGCGATCACAACAAATACATGATTTGGGATGTCTTGCGGGACATACCAAAGTGGGAACCATATTGTATAACCTTCTTTGCTCAAATAATGAACAATACACCATATTTGTTAGCAACAAGAAAAGCAATGTCTAACATAATCAACCAATATTCAGATGTCGTAAAATTTGATCTACTAAAATTCAACGAATGACCCATTGCGTTAAAATATTCACCATGAATCGTTGCGTAGTCTCCAAGGTGTGTTATTAGCTTGTTGTATAAATCTGATCAAATATGATGTCAATATTCTTCATTATGACCAAGAGAAAGAGCAATAGCTTGAAACCCACAATTTCCATCTCCTTTTATATCATTAACGTGTCCGATGTATGGATGAAATTCATGTGGAATTTCATTCAAAAGTGGATTTGAATTATATATTGGTTGTTCTTGGTAAAACGAGTCAAGTATTGTACGGATTTAATGATTTATATACGTTTAAAACCAGATTTCCCATGAAAAAAATATACTTTTTGATATTTTGCAACAATAAAAAAAATTATATTAATTAACAATTATATAATATTAATAATAATAAATTACATAGAAAAAACAACAAAATGACAAAAAAAATTAAAATTAAAAAAGAAAGTCAAAACCCTTTTTGATGTGATCGATATTAAAGGGTAATTAGATGTTAATTAAGGGTTTGTGGGTAAACTTAGTAATGAGGGGTGCATATAGCCTTAAAACATTTAACATAATATTTGTAATCATATGGTCTCGTAGAAAACATATCATATATTATATTTGGTACTTGTGATTGGTATTTTCTACTGTTTTAATCCAAATTTATAAAATTGATACACAAGTATTTATGGTTTTATGTAGTCTTTCGGTCGTTAAATTTAGTGTTTCAACTGTTAGATCACTAGATATGACCATTTTGCGCCAAACCAAATAAGTAAAATATAAACCAAAGTGTCAAAAAAATACAAGCTATAAACTCTTAAATCACATGTTTTTTAATCGACGAATTTAGATGTAAATTTTCTATCTATACAAGCCTCATTTATCACGGCCACCTCCCATAAACCCTTCCCCTATCTCTCATGAGTACTTCTGACACCCTTTTTCCAAAACTAAAAGCTCCAACAAAAGTCGAGCCAAGTCATCACCGACTTGACAAATTTCGATTGTTCTTTTGGCCGTCCTTTTTAGTTTTGGCTTTACGAATTTGGATTCCCGGTGGGTTTTTTCAAGATTGGGTTGGGATTATAAAGGAAGAGGGTAAGTTAAGGGATTGGGTTGGGATTGAGATGGGGTACCATTTATTGAATTAAATAATAATAATAATAAATAAATAAATTATTGGAAATAGGTGTTCATTGTCATGACTAATTAGTATAACTTTAGAAATAATAACAAGATCATTTTAGGGTTGTCCTCAAGAGTTAAAAGAGTTAGAAAATAATTTAAGAGAGGGAAATAAAAAGTTTATTGTTATATCTTGATAAATTAATTAGAAACTGGTTTGGATTAATTTGGAATTAATTGGAAGTAATTAGAATTAATTTGGTATTAATTAAAAGTACAGGGACTGAATGTTATTTATTCAAAAGTTAAATAATTAGGAACATTCTAGAACCCTAGGAGAGGGGGGCGAAAATTCATTAGGGTTTATCCTTAATGATTTTCGATTTTTACTAATTATGGAAGGAGATGGAAGAAGATTTGATTTGAAATTAAATAAGGATTTAATTTTGGTAATGATCCTTATCACGTCTCGTTTCCACTAAGTCACATTCAGCTATAAATACCCCCTCCCATTCTCCTATGTTTATGTCCCTTGCCTTCTCATTTTTTAGATTTGTATTTTTGTTGGGTTTTTATTCAAAAATAGTCTAATTTTAGTGACAAAGTTGACGTAATTAGCAACGAAATCATTTTTATATTTGAATAAACTAAAACTACTTTATCTACCAATGATCATTTTGCAAAGCTTAGAAAGATTACAAACTAACCAAATAAAAGAAGAAGTTTACAATCTTTGAAGACTTTGTTTTCTTTTCGCAATTAGGAATTTGATGAAGATGGCATTATAACTCCAAGAAGAAACCCGCTATAATATATCCACCAAGGCAAGAATAAACTACCAAAACATGCTAGTCATCACTTGTATTAAGTTTTTCTTAAGCCTTAATGTTCATACCAAATAAGCCTTAAAGAGAAGCAACTTATTACCGTTCATATCTAGCACCATTTTACAAGAAGAAGAAAGGAAAGAGGGGCTCCAAAACCTATAGTTTTGGCAACCTATTTTGAGAGCAAAATGTGAGCAAAAGTATGAGCAAAAGAACCAATTATCCCTTTCTTTTATGCATGCAAGTATGCATAAAGTCAAAAACATAAAATAGAAGTGTAAGACCTTTCTTACAAGCATGGGATGAATGAATAAAGAAAGGAAAAAAAGTAATCACATGTCATCCCTATCAAAATTCAGCCATCACCATCTAGGAAACAAAAGTTCAGGTCTTTTTTACTTTACCAACAACTAGTTAGTTACTTCTTAAATAAATGGTTGCTCTAAGTGACCAAAAAGTTATACATAACATTTATATTCCTATCATATGATATTAAACTAGTTTTTGTTCTTTTTTATTATTATTTCCTAGACATAATAATTCTCGATATGTTGCAAAATATTATTTTCATAAAATATGTAACATTCGGAATGCGGGTACTTAACCTTTAACCCTTGGAATGAAATTATTTTTTCAAAGGAGGTCCCTATGTACGTTGGGTGTACATATGTGTACGCTTAGTGTACTAGGGTGGTTTGGATGTGGACATACACCACGTATGCAGGGCATACTAAGGCGTACGCGGGGTGTAGGTGGCTTAAGACAAAACCCTTAATATTTGGTCCATGAACCCTATTTAAACACTCTTATGCCATTTGGACCTAACCCTAAACAGCCTCCATTGCCTCTTATCGTCCTTAAAGCCTAGTTTACAAGAGAGTGTGATTCTTGAGCTTAATAAGTGATTTTGGTGGCCATTTTAGTGGGTTTGCAAGAAGGAGAAGGTGGTGATCAAGTCTTGGACATGGTTGAGCTTCTAGATCTTGCATCTACTTCATCTTGGGGAGCTTTTGGAGGTAAAAAGTCCAAACCTTGGTTATCCTTCTACTAGTTTGAGTTAGGGTTTGGTAATAAGTCCATTTTTGGTCCATGGATCCTCTCTTGTGAGTTTGAGCAACTCCAGAGGCTAGAAATGTTATATCTAAGTTCCATTGGCATGTTAAAAGCATAAAAATGCTAACTTGATGGTTGTTATGGCACCATGCATGAGTTTAAGATCTTAAATGGAGTCTTAATGGATAAAATAAGGTGTTAGGTTCCCATATGGCATGTAAAGGCATAAAGTTGTCGACTTTATGCCCTATGACCTTTAAAATGACCAAGATCTGGAATTGGACGAAGTAGCTTCATTAAGCACGTAATGGCTTTATGTGTAAAAACTGCTTGTACGATACGCGTACCACCAAAGAACCTAGTACGTTGAGCATACTGAGGTTGTATGTTGGGAGTACGCTTCCAGTGAATTTTGGACTTTCAATGGGATTTTGGACGAAGTGGCTTCATTAAGCACGTAATGGCTTTATGTGTAAAAACTGCTTGTAAGATACGCGTACCACC